CCGTTGCCGGTCCCAGTCCGGTACGGGCACGACCCTGAGGGTTGCGGTCCGTTGCCGGACATGAAAAAAGACAAAAAGGAAAAAAAAAAAAACAGTTATTCTAAGGGACAAAGAAAACCTTTTACAATTTTGTATTAAGAGAAGTCAAGTGAAAAGACCTCTAGTAATCCTGTTTGATTAGTAAACCCAGTCAGCGATGTGTGTAGATAAGAACGCTTTTATACATTCAGGCTAGTAAATAGGCGTCCATTTATTGGAGCAAATTATACAAAGCTCAGTTTGAGTTTTAGCTGTTTTTACCAAATACATATTTATGGTTTCCCAGCCAAAAACTTGGTGCATTAGATCTATACCCTTATCAGTTAATGTTAAGTAGGGACTATGTGATATTGGGCATAGGTCTCCTTTCACTAGCCATTTTGGGTCCCAGGTTTCCACATGGCATTTGGAGCCATGTGGAGCTTAAGACAGCGGGCAGTATTTACAAAGATAATGTTTAAAAGATATTGTTTCTCTCAGCATGGCCAGGAGGCAGAGCTAAGACAACAAGGAGACATATTGACCTAGAGACAAATTTAGGTAAAAGGTTTAAATCAAATTTTGAAAAGGTATTTATCAAACTTTAGAAAATTTAAGTCACGTGAAGTTGAAAAGTATACTTATTTATTTAATGAGCACCCCTTAATTATAAGCCAATTTGGTACCTTGCAGACAACACAATTACACAAACAGACGTGAACATATAGACATAACATACAGGTTACACATGCATATATGCAGACATAAACAACAAGAACAAACAAGGATCTTAGAGGTTTTGTTCAAGATGTTAAAAAAGCTCAATAGTAAAAAGGACAGTCAGGTTTAGACTGTTTTTTAAAAAGACTTATTGGTGAGGCCTCACCCTGCCTTAAAGAAAGCAAGGTAACAAATTTACATTGTAAAGCAAAGTATGCAAACCTTTTCAAGAAGGTGCAGAGAAAGTTTTCTTTTCTTTTTTTTTTAAATGGCATAGAACTTTACCAGAGGATTTTGTGAAGAAATACATAGATGAGCATAGAAGAAAATTTAGAAGTCTGTTGAGATAAACAGCTGGATGCCAGAAATTTTGAGACCACCTAGTTAAACAGGTAGATTTTAGGTTAGTTTTTGTCTCTCAAATGAGTTACTGAGCTTAAGGGCTGAGCTATTGAAAGCTATCTGACTGTTGAAGTTTTTAAGTTTACCCCAGGTCAATTTGGAGCTTGTTATAATTTTCATTACTGGTGGTCTGATGTGTACTATCCCCAGTGAAATGGATTGAGGTGTGATGGCGAGGCGTTGAGATTTTGGGATCAGGTTCAATTCCTCGTCTGGTTTGGGGATCTACATAAGGTTTAACAGCCTTAGCAGGAATCCATAGTGGGCCTGTGCGTGAGAGAACAGACACATACCCTCTTCCC